AGCAGAAGCTGGATACGATGACGAAACCCAGGGCGGTGGTGAATGAGACGTGGCGTCGAATGGAGAAGGAACTGTTGCTTCGTGTGCAGCAGAAGTTGGATACGATGACGAAACCCATCGCAGAGACGTCGCTGTTGGTGCGTACGATGCAGCACCGACTTAGTGTATGGAGCAGACCGCACGAAGTCCTGTGGCCGTTGGCGCTGGTGTGGCTGGCTCTGATTTCCGTGTGGCTGATGTACAAGGGTAGACGAGCGCCGTCGTACGTACGCCGCGGCGCCCACAACCAAGGCGTAGTATCCCCAGCTTAGATTCGTTGTGAGAGTAACAGAGGTTTTAGATAGCAAAAAATCGAATCCATATCATAATGGACGCTGAGCTAGTGGTCAGTGCGTTGGGTTCGTAACCCTGACGTCCTGAGATCAATACCTTTTGACAGTGAAGTGTTCCTTTTTTCCTCAACCGCAAGTGAATTGTTACTCTGACTTACTTCACTGGCAGTGATTAAGGCCCCGAGCGCCCCCGGGAGGCCGTCTGCGCAAGTGCGGCCATACGAGAGCGCGGATCTAAGCCTCTCATTTCACCGAATGATCTATCTATTCCTCTTGCGGCAGGTAGGCCATATGGCCGTGCCGCTCCCGCTTTGAACTACCGGGTATAGCCTGCAACTAAGTTAGCAATACCTATCTACATTCATACACCGCTCGTAGAGAAACCGTGTGAGTAAAATTCGATGTCAATGTCATGTACTTTCTTAGATACTACTCGGAGTAGTAGCTAAGAACGTTGATCATAAACAAGCAACCCATTCCATTACTGTATGACCAACTTCAAGTCATATTTGAGACAATAGATCTTTAAACCATTACAGTACTTCACAATTTAACAGAGATCCACTCACTTCGAAAGTTACATTATTTGTAACAGTCGATGCACTAACAATAAAACGCAACAGCCTTGCAAATTATTAGTGATACTGTACCTACACTACTTTAGTTAAAAGAGTGTAAATTCCGAAGTGACTGAGTTACTGATGAAAACCTGACGTGAATGACTGAAAACTCACGAACTATATCATACCAAACCAAAGCAACTTGTATTACTGTTAGTATACAGTCGACGAGGGAATTTAAGGCTCATCGAAGTTCTGTGTGTAGTGCAAATTTCACGATATGATTGGATAGCGTAGTTCGAAATACGAAACATATTCTGACCAATCAGGATAACTTCAATAAGATATACTATTAATATATGGTACTACGTAGTAGTATGCGTTTGCACAATTAAATTTGAAAAACCAGTATACATGCTCCAAATGGTATTTTAACGATTACTAAGTCAATATTGCTCCGTTTTCGCTCAAATCGATGTCAAAATCTCCGTCTTCGTGGGACCTTTCGATTGGAAATGATTGGAAAACATAATCACAAAAACTGAAATTTTCACTTGTGGCGGTAGACGCCAGCCCAACACTCTTTGCACTACGGCTTTGGTATGGCATTAAGGAAGCAACTTCGCACTTCATCATCTGTTATGAGCTCGAATGCTTTGATCGCACTCTTGATCATTGTAATACGTTTGACAAGCGCTTTCGGAGACATCCACCTTCATCATCGTCGTCATCATGGACGAGGTCCTCGGATATCCACAGGTTACGCATGTGCCGCTTGAATGGCGCCATGATATACACGTCCGATGGTTGACAGTGGAAGATAGCATTTGGAGGTAGGTCCCATACTTCCATGCCGATTGCCTCTGCTGACTCCACGCTCAGCTTGCTCACATGGCATTCAAAGTTGTCGAGGACCAGGATGGACTTGTCTTGAACTTCTACTGCAAGGGCGAACCAGAGGTACTGCTGCCATACGGATTCCGTATGGCAGCAGTATGGAGTGAATGGATGGTTCCGTATTACGGAACCATCCATCCAAGCCTTGCGTAGAAGTGGCCGCTTGGATACGTTGGAAATTCACGCCGCTCTATGATGCCCTTGATTGCAAACATGATTGGCATCATCTTTCGTCGTATAGTTAGTACTGCCGTCATCCTATAGGTGCTATAGGTGCTTCTCGCCAGCCGACAGCTTTGCATTTCCTCCACGACGGACCAGATGTAGTGGGGCGGCATGTCCTACTGGATGCCTGTTTTATCCACATTGTAGACACAGTTGTTAGGGTACGAACCGTAGTCGCTGTGGAACTTTGATGCAAACTCTGATCGCGAGCTTTCAAGGTCCGTGTTGACCTTCTTGGACCTGCATGCTTGCTGGTGGGTGTACCCGTTTCGACGGCAGAACTCTTGCAGAAGCTTGAGCGGGTGGTCGTATCCACAACCAGACTTTTGGTGCGCCATGTACTGGGTGACCTATTCTTGGTGATGCTTCTTGAGGAACGTAATCATGTGCATATACTCGTAGGTCAATGCACGCACCTGGGACCGGCGAGCGTCCATGAAGGCCAGAGTTCATCAGGCTGCGGCAGAATGGTTGGTCGGCCAGCACCAGGCAAGTTCGTCGTCTTCTTATTCCCTTTGTAGGCTAAGAGCTTCACGGACACCAGCTGCGCATAGTTCGGCATGGCACAGAGAGCGCTGTGGCCACCTGTCGGTACGGATGGATCGGAGCATCTCAATTCCTCGCAGTTTTAGAGCGATTGGATACGTGTGCCTGTGTTCTCCTTTGGTGGCACTGCTGGTAGGATATACCAAGGGCTCCATGAGCATGCAGGCTCAAATACGCTTGTGAATACAGGGTGCACGAAGATTGTCACGCGCGCTTTTTAGTTTGGCTCGTGAATAAAAATATCACCAATAGAATTGAAGTATTTTGTGAATTGCTGCTGATTGGCTGAAAAAAGTTGTGTGACACTCAAAACTTCGATGAGCCTTAAATTCCCTCGTCGTCTGTAAACGACTGCGGGTAGCATGACCCAAGACCAATGCAGCTCTCTCTTGTCGGTTCAAACGATAGCGACACGCTTACCCTTTTTTTCATTCGCCATCCTTTCGTAACGCGCCAAGACCATTCCATAAAAGGTTTCGTCTTCAAGGCATAGGGGTATCAACGCCAGGTGAAAGTTCGTCAGGGCAAACGTCGTTCGTTGAACAGCACAATAGTTCTTCTCCGACCACGTGAACATCGCGAAAGAGGCTTTCCACAACGCGCATACCCGCCCAAAAACGTTCTCGACGATCACCCGATCGGACGAGATCAAGCGATTGCGCTCAACGTCATTAGCATCCAACGCACCGTTTACCGGGCGACGCTTGGGATGGATCCCATGTAGTGTTGGCATTACCAATCTATCCCATGTGGACAAGGCACGCCCATTGCTCACGATACTGCGAAGAGAGCTCACCTTCGTCAGGCAACATCATTTCTTGTTAACCACTCAAAGCATCCATGAAGATTTCCCCAGACATGATAAGCCCAGCGCTTGGACGTCAGTTCTTCCCAGCATTATCCACGTCCCCCTCAAATCCAAATTACCACTCGCACAGGCCAAACGAATCACTGCTTGGCTACAAGACCAAAAAGGGGAACTCCATGGAGCTCAGTACGACACTCCGATCCGCGTCATCGCGCAAGTGGATCCTTTCATCTCCGACTTCCCCTATCTAGCCCGGGAGATGCTGTGGTCACTCGGCTCGCCGGAACAGGTCATCAGTCGCTGCAGTGTGGACTCGATCGTCGAATGGGGCCAACATCTCCTAGCGAGCTGCTACCACACCATGCAGGCGGCCAAACGGCTGACTACCACTGCACTGCACCAGCAAACCCTGGACGACTGGAGACGTACAAGCTCAGATGCCTCCATTATGGACGAGGCCCTAAGAGTGGGGCTCGATCCCTCCGCGTGGCATGATTACCTCCCTCCACCGACAGATTACTCCGCCATCTTCACCCCTGTCTTCTTGACGGATCTCTCCCCGTCACAGATACTGTGGTTCGCCATTATTGGCCTTTTCCGCTGAAGTTCGGTCACTTAGGGCGTGTTTAATGACGCCAAATATTCGCACATTTCGGCCAAATGCGGTTATTTTAGTGGATATATCTGGATATTTGGAAATTCCATTGACTGAACACGTTTTTTTAATGTCCCAGATATTCTGAAGTCAAATAGCCGCCAAAAATATCCATGTCTGGAGCTGGATATTTTTGGGGGGCGCTTCACTGTGGGGCAATGTACTTGATAAGTTATCCGAAAAATGCAACTATAGAGGGAATACAGTAGAATCAAAACGCGATTGGACCAGTCGTGACGACATGGAGCCGACAACCACTGCACCATGTTGGTGCAGACATCACTGGTGGGTAGGAATGTTAGGGAGTTGACGTGGCGTTTGTTCTTTCTACACAGCTTTGTACACGGGTGTGCTCGCACATTGCAAGCCTTCGAGGTAGGTATGCACGAGCCGAGGCAGTTGCGGGATCGACGTGGCAATCGATACCACAACTGCCTAGGCTCTTTCATACCGATCGGATAGGCTGGTGGTATTCACTGCAAGCACTGTACAGTATAACCAGCCGATCTTGGCTTAACGTTACGCACGTATTTCCCCGAGTCCCGTTCGTCACTGACCATGTAACGTTATGATTGATTCCCCGCTAGTGTGGTTGATTGAAGGTGCAATGATCGTAATTCACACACGGTGCACACGTTAATGCATACCAACTAAGCTATACAGCACACGATTCGTGGATGTTATCACGTACAGACATGTTTAGCATGATGTTCTACCAGGAACAAGTTCGGCATGTTCGCATGGCCGCCCAGTCATGAGATTCCCTTGCACAATAGTTTTTTCATAAATTTATTACGATATGCAGTATATTTGGACTCAAGGTATGGTATTGACGATGTGTTAACAATTTGAAATATCTCGACATTTCAAATTTGGATATACTAGTATACGCTTCCATATATTAGTATACGCTTCCATATATCCACTGGAGGGCTTCAGAAACCGGCGCAAACTTTATTTTGCGCCACCAAAATCATCCGGAATTATAATTCAAATGCGCCGCAAATCTTGGTGAGGTCAGAAAAGGGCCTCATCAAAATTTGCGGCGGGTCCGGACTATTTGGTACGGATACTGTTGTAGTACGGATAAAGCAACTTGAGGCGATGTCTGTGGTTGCACTTGCTGGACGACGACGACGATGCCAACGACGAAGCTCTTAGCAACCTCCGCTTGTTCAGAGCACGAATATCCTTAAAGGAACGACACTACTACCAGCAATGTCCTCGTACCACCCAACGCGAGTCCATGGATTTTCAAGTCAGGACGCCCTCCCAAACTGCCACACAGGCACCAAGCCTTGGCTCTTGTCCTCCACTACTACAGTGCGGCATGTGAGCTGTCGTGTCCCTTGGGATTTAACCGTTTTCTTGGCTGGCTAGGGTATTGTAGTCAGTCTGTGCTAATTCCCAGTGGTTACCTCCAAGAGGTAGCAGTCTCTCGATGTAGTCGAGTAAGCTCAGCGCTTCTTGGGAGCTCCATCCCTTCCCTCCTCCTTTCGGTCCCATGCCAAAGTTAAAGTTGTTGGTCGCGGCCAACCTGTGAGCCAATCAAAGAGTAGAGATTTGCGCCGGTTTCTGTGGACATCACTTTGCCTCATGTTATTGTGCTTTCTGGTTAAACTTGCCAATTGTGATCCATTGTGAAAATCGCCAACAAATAGCCGCGATGATTTCATTGGTTAGAATTTCGAAGTCCAACTCAGTTTTCCACAAAGGGCAGTACGACGAGGTGTAGTCGTACGTTGCGGTAGCGCGCGGGCGTCCAGTTGTTGTACTTGAGATGTTTGTGTGTACATCGGTGTGCATGTGTGCTGGGGATACGAAGAAACTCGCTACGGGGCCTACGGGCTCAGGTGTTACAAAATGGGATGTCCATTGACTCAGGTCAGGAAACTGCGTCATAATAGGGTGAGTAGGAACGATTGTTTTGTGAGAGAAATCCCACTTTTTGTCAATGGGGCCATTTCGCGGACATTCGGATCGGGGCGATTTAAGAACCGCCATGGAAATATAGAGTAGAACACACAATAATATTAATCATATTTTCGCCGGATAATTTTGAGCCGGCACCGACTCAAAATAAAGTTTGCGCCGGTTTCTGAAGTCCTCCACTCGGATACTAACGCAGGCCTCATAAACTTATGCATATTCTAAATATAGCTCTGCAATTGAAAGGTCAACTGCGTGCATAAACTAAGACATTTTTTTTACACGCATTATTCTTTACTGACTCAAATGAGCCCAATGCCGCCGCGCACCACTCCATTCCAGTCCAAGCACTATCTGGAGTTCGGCCTCGAGATCGTCTCCAGGGACCAGCACGGCAACCCGATGGTGCGGTGCAACTTCTGCACTTTTGAGGGCCGCGACAAGGTGGAGATCACGGAGGGAGGAACCCGGAAGCGCAAAAGTCGCGTCGACGTCAAGTACTTCACCAAGCCATTCACGCCCTTAAACTACCGAAGTCACCTGAACGGTCAGCACAAGGAATCGTGGGAGGCGTACCAGCAGATGTCGACTTCTGCGAAGAAAGAATACTTCAACGACAAGATTAGCAGAAGTAACACGCTTCACGTCCATATGGACTTGACCAGCGACTCAATCGAGTACATGATCAAGGCGCCCATCGTTGATACGATCATCGGAGGGCTGTTCTTCAACGCGGAGGCTATCCAGGAGGAGGACTGCGACGACGCCGGAGAGGACGTGGCGTCAACAGCATCCAAGAAAATCAACAGAAGAACAACGCAATGTTGCTGTTCAAGCAGGGGGAGCGAGCGTCGAATGGGGCGGCTTCGTACACGGTGAAGATCAAGAACACGATGTGGTACCAACTAGTGATCGATCACGTTGGTGCGGGGATGTCGTTTAAGCAGACGGCGCTTGCTATCGGGCACGCCAAAAATCGGGCCCAAGTACCCAAGCTGGCAGGCATCAACGATCTCATCGTCGGCCAGTACGTCCGTGTGCAAGTCGCAGTCGCGCTCCAACGTATTGGCGACATGCTGAACAATGTCAAGCAGGTGTGGGCGTTCTCGTTGGCCGGTGACAGTAGCACCCATCGCGGTCAGTCATTCTTCGATCTCCGCCTGCGCTTGTACTGGCACGGCCACCTACTGAACCTGCACCTGGTCGCGCTTCCGATGTTCGACCGCCACACCGCCGAGAACATGTTCAACATGATTGTTAAACTCCTGGACGCGCTCTTCCCTAAGTGGCGGGCGAAGTTGATTGGCGTGTCAAGCGACGGCGAGAATAAGATGACCGGGCGCCATCGCAGCCTCGTCACGAGGCTCGTGGCTGCCGTCGAGTACAATGTCATGCGTGTCTGGTGCGCTCCCCATCAGATCAACATCATCGCCAAGGAGAGTGCCGACCGAATCGACGGCGGGACATGAATCAAGTTTGCCTACTCCTACACCGTCTACCTGCGCGTTCAATCTGATCATCGAGATGGGCGTCAAGTGCCCCAGGAAGACGAACCGCTGGGTGCATCTCGGAAACGTGCTTAAATTCTTGAAGGAAAACCGTCGCAGGCTGATGACGTACATCGAGGAGGATCGCCCCGATATGCTGCCGACTGACGCGTGGTGGACCGTGACCTATGCTATCGCACCAGGCATCGACGCAATCAACATTGCGTTCGCCCTACTGCAGAACAGGTCGCTGCTGATGGCGCAGCAGGAGAGCCACATCATGGCGCTTGTTGCCACGATCAGCACCATGTTCGACCTCGAACTGATCGATCCCGACGACGCTGTCGCTCCTTAGCGAGCGTATCTGGACCGACCAACTCCTCATCCTGATCGAGGACCAGGGATCAATGGCCCGGGACTACTTTCTGCGCTTGGATGTTGCTGATAAAGCTACCGTCCTAAAGCAGATAGTGGCTTATGCAGAGACTCTGGTGATCGAGCTGCAGGGCGTGCGGGCAGAGCGCGACGACAGCAACCTGCCGCGGGAGCAAGATGCACCTCCAGTTCTACCTGATTGGACTTCGACCGGCTCACTTCATCCGTAATGTGCTGGACCCGCATCGTGAGCGCATCCTACGCTTCTGGTCTGATGTCGACATCGACGTGGTCGAGGAAAATCATCGCCAGCTGGTCGCCACATATAGCAACGACCCCATCCTGCGCCGCACTATTGACGAACACGTCAATAGCGCCACTTTCGATGATGCCTGGGATATCGCACCTCATCAATGGCTGCATCTGCGCGAGTTCTGCGGTGGACTGGCGACCATCTTTCCCAACACTACCTCAGTCGAATCTGACTTTTCGATCCTAAAATGGGAGATGGATCGGAGCTGGACCCTTTCGGAGTAACCTATTTCCGGAGCAAGAACCAATCACATTGGTTTCCGTCTCCGGATGAAAAAGTGTTTTCCGCAGTAGCTCCGAGAGCTACTTCTACAGTATCTCCGTTTGTGCAAATAAGTATCTCCGTTTGTGCAAATAAGTCGACGAAGCGTTTCGGAGTAAAATATCACAAATTAGTGTAAAAAGTATCACCAGCCATAGATTTCTCTCGATGGACATCAACACAGTAGTCGCTGCAGCTGTCGGTGCTGCTGCACAAGCTGTCGTTGCTTCTTTGGACGGCCGCCTCACCCCTGCTCCAAAGATAGACAAATTCACTGTCAAGTCGTCCGCTTGGAACACAGTGAAGACCGATCACACCTACGCTGGTTGGTACAAAACGCATCTGCGCTGTGGGCCTTCTGTGTTTTTCATCATTGCACAGAAGGTGGAAGACAAATGGGATGATGTTCACGGTCCTCTGCATCACCACACAATGTTCTGCGTGGTCGATCGGGTTGCAGTAGCACTGCACTACCTGTCGCACTCGGATAGGTACAGCACCACTGCGGCTCTCTTTGGCATCTCTTTGACGTGTGCGAGGCAGTACTGTGTCCAAGTGTGCCAAGTTATCCGTCAGCGCTATCTGAGTGCCGTTTTTTGCCTACCGACTCGCCGCCCTGATTGGGAGAAAGTACGGTTGGGGTTTGAGTCCGTGATGGGCTTCCCCAATGCGTATGGGGCTATCGATGGGTCCCTTGTGCCTATCAAACGTTTCACAGACCACACGGGGTGGTATTGTCGAAAAGGGTTCCCCGCGTTCAACATACAAGCCGTTGTGGACGACAAGTTGAAGTTCATGACGTATTCTATCCCGTCAGGAAGCCAGAATGACAAGGCTCTGTTTCGTGACTCGTGGTTTGTCAAGTCCTCCCATCAACTCCTCCCTTTGGCGGCTGCACCCTCGGTGACGCTGGATACAAGCTGTACAACCATGTGATGATGCCGTATCCAATTCGTTGGGGTATGCCTCAAGACGAGGTCCATTACAACCACGTCCACAGTTGTTCACGAATGGTGGTCGAAAGGGCATTCGGAGTATGGAAAAACACATTTCGATTGTTTCAGGTAACGATTCTACAAAGCCCTCAACAAGCAATAACTAGCCCACTTAACTCAAATTATTTGTTTTAGGTGACTCTTTTGCATGGAACTCCGGAAGAAATGATCCTCCTCATCGAAGCAACCCTCGTTCTGCACAATTGGATGATTGATGAAAAAGAAGCTGCCTTGGAGGCCATTACAATTCCTTCTCCTAGTGAATACGAGGACTGGATGCACATTGGGGGTGATGTGATATATGATAGTGAAAAAAATCAAATAGATGGCGTAGAAGCAGTAATCACACGTGATCACATTAAAGCGTACATTACCAATTACACGTAATTGGTGTTTTCATCACGAGTATTTTCGTTGGGATTGTTTAATGATGCAGCGCGACACCGATACTGTAATGGAATTTCATCAATAATATTTGCGTTGGAATTGTTCTATGAAGCACAGCGACGTCGCGATGCCGCGATGTGTAGATGAAGTGCGGTGCAAAACAATGTATAGCAGCAGATTTGGCTAGTGCAGCTTCAGTCCTCTCGAGTATCGCGCTAAACCCGTTGGGCTTATCCGGTGACTCTTTCGAAATGGTAGCGGCATCCACCATCCCTTGTGCGAGTGCAGCACCGAGCGACACTAGCCCCGCCCCGACGTCTGTCTCGCCGTGCTTCCGTAGTTGACGCTGCCTGTCGACTTCACCCGGAATAATGCGTTTTCGCTTTCGTTCTGCGTCGTCGACGTGGAGGTCGCCATCACCATCTTCAACACCACTGCTGTTGTTGACGTCCCACAGTGAACTTGGGTTATCGGTGCCAAATTCGAGATGTCCAATTCCTTTCATGTCCCCGAATGCAGTGACGAGGTGTTCCCAGTAGCTTGGATACTCGATTGGATTCTCGGTGTCGTTTTCAGTAGCTTCGACACACTTCTTGATGTTGTTGTACTGTAATTTGAGAGCATATACCTAGTTCTCTTGAGGGAGGTACTTGGTATACGAACTGATGCCGACGTGAGTATGTTGAATTGCAGGGCGACCTTTTCCCACAGGCAGGCGAGCTACTTGTTCGACTTACTACCGGCGAAGTCGTCACGAAACCAGCCAAACCGCACTTCGAGCAACGCGACGATCATCTGGTCCGTATAGTTTGCTGAGAATTTGGGTTCGACAGCGGCCCGAGGTTCCGATGGAGTTTCAGGCTGCCCGACGAGGGGGATCATGAACGTGGCTGCTTGCATTTCAGCTCGCAGTACCCGATTCTCTTCGATGAGTTCCTTTTTCGAAGGGGTCGTGAGCTTGGCCATGTCAATGTCACTTTGTTGGTCACCAAAAGACCACCGATTTGCTCTTTTTTCTGTCCTATGCTTGATTTAACCAATCAAATACCTTTATTTGTTATTCACTCGTCCGGTGATGGACCAAAATCTTGACCAATGAGGGAGCTCGTGAGCATTTTCTGTTTGATGAAAAGGAGAGGAAAAAGTTGTGAATTGCTACTCCGAACTCCTTTTCGTTTTATTATTTAGCTTACTCCGAAAGGGGCCTAATACCGGTACGTTAGTATGCATTGAACACGCCCTTACGGATAATATCCGTCATCCGGAATTATCCGGTGTTCTTTTTCTGTAGATGCCGGCCTGTTTCTACCCATTCATAGGTCATCTAAGCAGTCCGTTAATGATCACTTTGGTTTTGTCCTCGACCACACAAGTGTTCCTCGTCGTCGTCCCTCCTCAGTGCTACATACTTCCTCTGTTCCAAATTACTGCGGACATTTGCAAAATGCATATGTTCCATAATAGTGTGGACACTTTACTTAATTATGATTGGCTAATCAGTAAAATACAATGCTGTCATTGGCTGGAGTCGTTACAAAATCAAAATTTCACGGCCACAACATGATGACTTCGGCAGAAGGAACACGAGCCACTGGCGCTTCGAGTTCACGGTGAAGAACCCCGAGAAATGAAGCGTGCCTGGTGAGATTCATGCATAGAGTACCAATGCGTTCACTTAACGGCACTTTTCCACGGGCGGAAGCTTCAAGCGGTTGTTATATCTGCCCTCCATTCCACGCAACACCACGGATGGCAAAACGTACAAAGGCCCTAGAATAATTAAATAAACCTCGATTATTTTGTATTTTTTTCTGATACCCGATGACGAATCAAATTTACAGCACGAAATTGGTTGTTTTGTGCGTTACAGCCAATAGACAATACCTTCATATTATTATTCTCTTTCAGACATGGTAGGATTCATTAAATTTAGTCAAGTTTTGGGGTCGCTGGGCAGGGAAATGTCCGCAGTGATTTGGAACAGAGGAAATACTTCCTCGTCCCTCTTGACAATAGAGATCCCATGAATAGTGTCGTAGGGAAGTAAATAGTCAGTGGTAGAGCATCGGTTTCTTAACTCATTTAAAGGTCGTCGGTTCGATCTCCGGCTTCCCCGGATTCCCCTCCCCTGGAAAATCCGGATAACAAGGGAGACGAGAACCGAACTTCGAAGAAGATCGGTCGAAGTACGAGGTACGAAGCGTTGAGCGAAGTAAAAACCGAAGATTACACACCGCCCCTGGTTTAATTGAGTTTGGGTTATCATTACATAAAATACACACCCGACAAGTACCCGACAATTTCAGGAGAACCATTGGCTGCCCGACACAAGAATCGTGACTTGATTCGCCAACGGCTTTTGACGCCTAATCATTGGACGAGGATCTTGTCGTGGGAGCAACATTGAATTAACATTTGACATGTACGCGATGCCATTGGGCAGTTAAATATATGTAATCGGTTACACCACAACTATTCGCAAA